CATTGACTTACCTATTTGTTCTTCGAATATTTCATTTACTAGGCATTGGTAAGTAGCCTCTGCATTTTTTAGCCCGAAGGGCATTACATTGTAATAATATGTTTCGTACTTGGTGATGAATAAGGTCTTCTCCTGGTCGTCCGGGTTCACCTAAATTTGATTGTACCCGGAATAGGCGTCGAGAAAGGTAAGGGTCTCGTGGCCAGCCGTAACATCGATCATGCGATCGATGTTAGGCAGTGGAAAAGAGTCTTTAGGGAATGCCTTGTTCAAATCCTCATAATCTACACACATTCTAAGTTTGTTCCCTTTTTTAGGGACTATGACTACATTGGCTAACCATTCAGGGTATTTTACCTCCCGAATGGACCCTATTTTGAGAAGTTTAGTTACCTCATCCTTTATGAATGCATGTTTTACCTCGGACTGGGTCCTTCTCTTTTGTTTTACCAGTTTGAACCTGGGGTCGAGGCTTAGCCAATATGTTTTTATCTTCGGTAGGATCCATGTCATGTCTAAATGGGACCAAGAAAAACAATCTATGTTATCGATAAGAATTGAATAAGCTTTTTCCTGAGTTCGGAGGTTAACCCCGTTCCCAGGTATACCTTTCGCTTGGGCAGATACTCGATTAATAAAACATGTTCCAGCTCCTCGACCGTTGATTTGGTGGCATCTGAGTCTTCGGGTACAACAAAGGTTCGAGGAGTCAGAAAATCCTCATCTTCTTCTTCTATCTCCTACTTTCTCGATTCGGTCGAGGCTGGTGGCTATGATCGCTATTTGGTTTTCTGTTTACCTTTGATGCTCGAATTTTCCGAGGTTGATAACATTGATATTTGTATTACCTCGTCAACTGCAAACATTTCGTTTGCAGCATGCTGCTCCCCGTACACTATTTTCACACCATCCGACGTCAAGAATTTCATCATTTGGTGAAGAGTCGAAAGAACTGCCCTCATGTTATGGATCTAAAGCCTCCCCAGTAGGGCATTGTACCTCATGCTTCCCTCGATCACGTGGAACTTGGTATTCTGAATGGTTTTGGACACGTTCACTGGCAGAGTAATCTCACCTTTAGTTGTTTCACTGGCCATGTTGAAGCCATTTAAGCCCGAGCTACGGGCACAATTTGATCTGTAGGCCAAGTTACTCCATGACCCTCGATCGGATGATATTCGCCGAACTACCTGGATCCACTAAAATATGCTTAACTTGAAATTTATTTAACAAGATAGAAATTACCAGAGCGTCATTGTATGGTTGAGAAATGCCTTCTGCTTCTTCATCATTGAATGATAAGGAGCCATCGGGCACATAATCTCGGGTTCGCTTTTCTCTAGTAATAGATACCTTTGTGCTTTTGGATATAGGCCCTTGTGGAACATAGACCCCCCCTAACAATCATATGAATGATATGCCATGGTTCTTCTTGTTCATTTTTCCTGTTGACGTCTCTGTCTATGAAGTGGTTCTTGGCTCGACCGCTAAGGAACTCTTGAAGGTGGCCCTCGTTGAATAGACAGGCTACCTCCTCCCTTAATTGTCTGCAATCATCGGTCTTGTGACCATGCATGCCATGATACTGGCACATCAAATTTGGGTTTCTTTGGGAAGGATCGGTTTGTATGGATTTGGGCTACCTAGTATCTTTGATCCTTCCGATTGCCGAAACAATGCCTGATGCATCGACGCTAAAGTTATACTCCGATAACCGAGGTGCCTCTACGAGATCGACATTCTTATCAAAACCACTCTTGCTCATAAGTCCCCGAGAATTTTGTCCTCGATCATTTCTTTGATCATTCCGAGAAGGATTGTGCCCCGAGCTATTGTTTCTTCGATCTGCGACATATGGTTGTTATTGTTCCCTGTTCGACCTCGGTTCCCTGTCGGTATCCCTCGGGGCTTTAACTGCCAACCTATTTGGATGAACTGAACCCGAAGGGGCTCCTAACTGGCCGTCCTTGACCCTGATCTTCGATTGATATCGATTGTGCACATCTGCCCAAGTTACAGCTGGATACTCAATCAGATTTTGCTTCAACTGTCGTGATGCTATCGAACTTCGCTCGTTCAACCCCTGGGTGAAAGCTTGAATGGCCCAATCATCTGTAACCGGTGGTAACTCCATACGTTCTATTTGAAACCGGGACACGAACTCCCTTAACATTTCGTTATCCCTTTATCTTATCTTGAAAACATCTGATTTTCTTGTTGCGACTTTTATTGCCCCGACGTGTGCCTTCACAAAAGAATCTGCTAACATGGCAAATGAGTCGATGGAATTCGATGGCAAGTTGTGATACCAAATCATTGTTCCCTTTGATAGAGTTTCTCCAAACTTTTTCAACAAAACAGACTCGATCTCATCGTCTTCTAAATCATTTCCCTTTATCTCGCATATGTACGAAGTGATATGTTTATTAGGATCGGTGGTCCCGTTGTATTTCGGTATATCCGGCATGCAGAACTTCTTAGGAATGGGCTTCGAAGCCGCACTCTGAGGAAAAGGCTTCTGCACAAACTTTTTTGAATCCAACTTTAAGATCGGGGGTGCCCCGGGTATCTGATCAACTCGAGAGTTGTATGTTTCTACTTTTTTGTCATTATCTTCGATTTTCTTTTCTTCCGACTCGATTCTCTTGGTGAGCTCCTCGAGCATTTTCATAATTGTAGGATCAGTCCCTACTCAGGTTACTGCTCAACCTTTCCGGCACTGGCTCGGTATGGCTAGTGATTTCCGGCTCAACCACACTCGGAGTTCTATGTTGACTCTGAAGCTGAGCAATAGCGACATGTTGAGCCTGTAGCATCTCGAATATTACATGGAGACTAATTCCCCCGTCTCCTACACCCTGTGTTCCTTGGCCACCAGATCGGCCTTCCCTGCGCACACCTCCTCTGGGGTCTGCGCCTAAGTCCACATCCAAAGCAATGTGCGAACTGACATCGACTGGATCGGTACTTCCCCAGGATTAATCGGTGGTACACCGGCTCCTGGAACAATTACATTATTGTTTTCCCCGTGAAATCCAAGACCATCATCGCCATGTACGGGTGCGTTTTGTGAGTTTGACATGTTTTAACCTGAGAACAAAAATTCTTGACAAGAACAAGTGTAAAAATAACGTGTGTTATCAGAATCAGTACTGAAACAATCAATATTATCCTTAGCCCCACGGTGGGCGCCAAGCTGTTACCCTAAAATCCGAGTAACAATTAAACTTATATTGTGGTCTTAAAGATATGTGATTTAGTCCAATACCAATTGATTCAAATGTATAAATTAAAGAATAAAGTAAGTCAAACCAGTATGCAAGCTAAGTCTTGACCTCGAGCTATGGCAGTCTCGAGGTGGGTCAATGAGAACAATAAATTATAAGGCATCTCAGGTGAACAGTAAGCAAGAAAATGATGAATGTATATTCTCTAATCAATGAACAGTCTGTTACAAATGAATGGGTTCCTCTTTATATAGTAAGAGGATCCTAAATAAGGTACACTTCTAATTATAGTAGGGAATCTTATTGGACATCTGTCTAACCGCCAAGTAAATATGTTCCGGGATTTACGCCAGGATCTTCGGGCCGTTGCGGGAATCTTGCTCTTTCTGCTACTAAACCATAACGGTATTGTCTCGAGGTCGATCATACTCGGCCTTGGTTTTCATCGAGCTCTTCGATCCTCAAGTTCTATATTCCGTCATCGGGCTCGAGCTAGGTCCGTTTTGGGCTTATTCTCGAAGCGATTCCCTGAGCCTACGAAACCGGGCATATCTAATTTCGACCGTACACAAATTTGTTTCTGGAATAACTGAGTAATTTCTTACTTGATGGAATATAAGCTGTAAAAGAATTTTTTTAGAAATTTGTACTCTCTCTAACCAAGAAAGAACATGAGAATTTATAGCGTACTTTAGCTGAATAACTGGTGAATGAGAAAGAAATGCTGTTTCTCAAGCTTTAGCAAGAAAATACGTAGGAGAAAGAAATCGTTCTTGAACACTTCCTAAATCAATGGATATTATATGAGGAATACTTTCTTGAAAATTGACTGGATATTATGAAGCTCTCAAATACTACTGATATTTATGATTGATTGATTGATGTTTACAAATACATGGATTATAAATCTCTTACAAAATGAATATAAATAAGTCCATATTACACGCCTAACTTTGCATAGAACCTTAATTCTTCTTAGAAACTCAATAGGTCATGCGGGATAGGACAGCATAAAAGAAACCTTATGATATATTCTTAAAACCTTGTATCTGAAAGATCATGCGATAAGATGAAACGTAAGTTTAATACGGGAATAGATAACCTCTCATTCTCCAAATAAATTCTTCAAATTTTATATCATCATGTCATGTTTAATGATTTTAAAATGGAGTTTAAAAAGTATCGTAATATTGCCAATAACGGGAATAGAAGCTCTTCAGATTTTCTTATCATGCAGTTGCTTAATGTCCAGTCATTCACTAACTGATAGCAGGAAAACAAAAAACAGACGCAATTCATGGGAAGCGGAAGAGTTAGCGGTCAAAGTGCTCTTTTGTGCTTATGTAAAGCACCTTTTAATATGTTAATTATCAAATTAACATATTAAACCTCTTTTCTATAAATCTGCATAGTTAAACAATTCAAATTTATAAAAAATTTGAAAACTGTAGAAATTATTAGCACATATTTTTTAAAAGAACAAGTCAACAAAACTCTTTTAGCAATTAAAAGCTTATCGACCATGGCATGTTCAGATAATCGCATTAATCACAATGAAATAGAGCACCACAATAGACAAACGTGTTTGTAAATTTTCAACTACTCTTATCATTCGAAATATTAGGTCACCAAAAATACCAAGACTACGGTATTTAGACTATGCCCAATGGTCTTGTTTACTGTGAAATTGAAGTACTAACGACCTTTGGCATGGTAGACAAATCCTTGCTACTAGATCTTGAACTGTAAAATATGCAAACTCGACAACTATAATACATAACATAGCCGCAACTTGCAATCACGCCCTTAATTTAGAACCAAACAACTCTCACTCACAGAGGAGAACTGAAACGTTTGCAACAGTTGAAACAAAAACAAAGACCACTTTGTCAACAAAATTTCAAAACAAGAAATTGAAAACTTAACTTAAAACAAGCCTGTAATATATAGTCTACTAATGAACTTAATAGAGAAGGTAAAACAAACATTCTGGATACGAATCATCGCTGATATGCCTACTTCTAAGCCCGCTCATTCTTCTTCGGCAATTCTGCCCTTCTCACTGACATAGATACCGTCAAGAAACTTTCGGATATCCTTGTTCTTCACATGGCATTTCTGTCCAACAGAATACAACATAGAGCAGTTAAGTAATGTATAATCTCCCTACTCTTTGTGAATCAGTTTCAAAAAAAACAAGCATGCAAATATTGAATGCTGGGAAAGAACATAGAGATTACTTGATTGATGAGGGCAGCAGAGCGAGAGACGAGCTCAATGTCATTTCCATCCAATACAAGCTCATCCTTAACCTTCTCAGATCGAACAACTGTTACCCCATCAAGCATGTCCACTTTCCTAACCTGATACAGTCATCAAACCAGTCAATCGCCAGGCACTACAACAAACGGAATAGATGATTCACAGTCCAGGATACTATCCCATTAATAGATGTAGCTATCTTCTGCCATGAAAGGGATATCAGTCACAAAGTCCAGATACCAATCAATAAGAATGACACTCAGAGCTTGCTTTTGTCTGTTCTGGAACATGATTCCTTAAGACAGATAGAATAATCTATGAAAATCTCATTGCATTATCTCATAAAGACCTAATTCTTCTCTTATCTTTAATCCTTACATAAGCTGCTAACTATTTCAACCAACATCTCAAACTTCCTGGCAGATTTTTAACAAAGTAGTATAACAAGTTGCAAAGTGAATTTATCAAAAACTTTCTAATCACAGTTAACAAAAAAAAGACAATCAATCTATGCTGCTTTTAAAGTAGTATATTAATTTTATTTCCAAAGAAATAAGAAATCAATGCCTGAATTCACATTGAAAAATAGTCAAAATCATGCCATTCTTTCTTCCAACAAGAATTAACATATGTTTGACAATACTTCCAAAGCCTATCAATTTATCTTCTCTCGCCTTATGTTTTACACTCTTTAGAAAGCCTGTCGGGGCAGATTATCAAAACAACCACCCAATTACAACAAAAATTTGAAGGGAAAACAACTATGCAGAATGATTACATATTCGATTCTCATATTTACAAAAAAAAACTGATGCAAACTTGTATCATTTATGCATACACTACCATCTAATAGAATCCCTTTTAGCGTTATTTTATATCTAATCATTTCATTCAGCACAAAAAAAAACTCAGAAGAAAAACAAACATAAAAAAGTAACAATCCATATCACATATGTCACGCTCATATTAACAAACTATTGCACATCATTTCATTCATACAAAAAGCTTCAGAAAAGAGTAAAAATTAAAGTAAAAAATACCCTCTTCTCGCCAAGGAAGTTACGAATCTCAATGGACTTGTTACCACCGGTGATGGAGGCATTGATCGGAAAGTGAGCATACACGAAACGCATCTTGTAGCGGTAACCTTTGGTCACACCAGTGATGAGATTCTCAACATGGCTAAGAGCAGTACGGATAGCTGCAGTAGTCTTACGGGATCCAAACCAAGCGTCAATCTTCAGCTTCTTCTTGCCAGTTTCCTCGTCCTTGATCAGCTGAAAATCGAGGTTGAGATGCTTGAAGTTTCGGACAAGTTTGCCCCTTGGTCCCTCTACTTCGATTTGCTTTGCCTTCACCTTGATGCTCACGCCGTCGGGGATATCCATGGTTTCTGATGACAGAATGGTCTTCATCTTGTCTTAGTTTCTCTCTTTCGCTCTCCCTCTGTGTGTGTGTGAAAATGGCGATCGCTAAAACCCTAGCAGCGATGTGAAACCTTAGAAGGAAGAGCTCTTTAATATGCTGTGGTACTAATTATTGAAACCCTAGTTGTGATGGGCCTAAATAATATTAGTGTCCGGAGGCCCATCCCAGTCAGCAGGCCTATGTGACCCAGTTTTTTCACCAGCCCATTTTAATTTTTTTCGCTATATTTTCATAAAACACTATTTTTTTAGTAGTAATTAGTCATCTATAGATATCATTTACTATATTACGGATTATAGATACTTTTTATGTGGTTATAAAATATATTTGATGTATTTAATCTATTGTATTCATAAATACAGTAGCAAAAATAGGCGTGAATCAGGGAAGTTCAGCTAATCAGTTGTTGTATTCGAGTGTATTCGACTGTATTCATGGAGTGACACATGGGATTACAGCTGGACAGATTATTGTATTCGACTGTATTCACGGCGTGAAATATGGGATTATGCTATTTTTAAAACGGCAAGTGAATCAATTAACATAATAGACTCATAATATAACTCAACAAATTCAATCATAAGACACAAAATATGTATTTCCAGTTATAAAAAAGATTCTCAACAAAAAAATACCCCAAAAATATAGCAATCTTCAGAGAAATTATATAAATACATCTAAATACATAAATTATATTAATTAAAACAAACTTATGAATACATTCATGGCATATAGCGAGACAGTGAATACGATGAAATACATAGAATACAACGGAATACATTGAAATACAATGAAAAAAAAGACGGAGAATACAATAAAATACATGGAATATAGCGAGATGCATTGAACTACAATGAAAAAAGACAATGAATACAATGAAAATTATGAAAATATAGCGTAATACGTTGAAATTACATTTAAATATATTAAAAGAAATGTTCTTCATCTCGAAAGAAAGAAATCGTCACTTAGTGGATCTCCGAAACCTAATCCTCTTTCCACGACCGCCGTCATCTCCTCGTTGGACTTGACGTCGTCTTTGGAGGAGGCGCCAGCTCCGAGGAGTCCAAAATCTATTAGATGTTTAGCGGAGCCCTGGATGGTTAGAAGAATAAGAATTGTCGCTAAACAAACTCTAGTTCGTCATGTTCTCCAACCTTCTAACATTTGCTACATTGTTGACTTTTATTGTTGGAATGGTTCCTCCCATTAAATCTGTTGTGCATGGTAATACTGTTGGTGTAAAGGGAGGGGAAAGTGGGAAGGGATAGAAAGAAAATCGGTGGAAGGAGGAGGAGAACGGAAATTTTAATGGGATGCGGGAAGAGAATGAGATGTATCAAAGTAGAGAGAGAAAGAAAATAGTGTAACTGATTAGCGTATTTAGTAGCCTGGGGCTAGGAGGTAACCAAAATTGAATATTTTGCTATAAGCCTTCAAAGGTATCTATAGAATATAATTTTTTTAAATGGTAATTGTTTAAAATAAACAAGGTGTTAACCTTTGCTATAGGAGGTAAAAATTCCTAAACCATACTATATTGCCTTTTCTTTTCTTTTATTCGAGTATACAGGTGTTGAGTATTACATAGTCCTATGTTTTTGAAGTATTTGAATTTAGTTTAACGTAAACGTAGTCTCTCGTAGAAAAATAACTACTGAGAGGAAATTTTGTCTATGTTACCGACAAGGAAAAGACATTGATATTTGTTTTTATCTTAAATTTACTTAATTTAACTTAGGAGGAGTATTCGTCCCATTTTAAGGTGGCGCGCTATGGTACGTATTGATGGGCCAAATTACTATTACTGATTGGTGACCCAACAACATGCCCATGTAGCCCAACCTTTTCATCGGCCCACTATTTTATTTTTGCTTAGCCTATGTACTGCCCTTCTCTTTTGAATAATTTGTATTTGAGGTATTGTACATGATATTGTTTTTTAGGTGTATGAACTTTAATTTAACATAAATGTATTGTCTCGTAGAAAAGTAACTATTGAGAATTTTCTCCTATGTTTGTAATTGGATTTTAAATTTAACTTCTATCGCATATTTAGCTGATAGTCATTAAGTTCTGCCGAATTCATATATAGGTATTTGTGACATAAGATTGAACTCCTATTGATTTATGAAGTTTTATGAATTTTATAGTTTGATAAGTTTTGAGTACATGACCATGGATAAAAAAGTGTGAAGGTTGAGAATAAAGGTAAATGGTTAGGATAGGTCGCTTAGCGTTGTCCTTGTCTATAACAGTAGCTTTAGTATACAAGTTTGTGTTATTTATGTATTATTATCGTATTCCTTGACTTGTGCGATTACTTGTGTTGCTTTCGTTTCGGCCTTCTGATTGCAATACTCAGTTTTAATTTTGTATCTTTATATTTTTGCTTCGGTTTTCTAATTGGTGTGCTTGCTGCTGCTCTTCATTTTATTTTCCTAAGCCGAGGGTCTTCCAGAAACATCCTTTCTGCCTTCTTGAAGGTAGGGGTTTAGTCTGAGTACATACTACCCTCCCCAAATCCCATTTGTGGGGTTACACTCTCTCCGAACTGAACTGTATCTTGTTAGTTATATTGATTAAAGTGTTAAAGTGTATTAACACTTTACGGAACAAGATTTTCAGCACTTCCTTTTGATATTGAGTGTCTTTATTATAATATAACGTGGTTCAAGAGATTCACAAGAAATGCAAGAAACAAACAAACGCTTCTTCGAAAAAATTGAAGAAAATAAATGTTCAACTAAAGGAGGACATCAAGAGATAATAATTAATAAACAAGAAAAGCCATACCAAAAACTAGAAAAACAATTTCAAGAAAAACCAACATGGAATTTCAATGACTACTTCATTGAATGCGTTGCTAATTCAAAATCCAGATGTCCTAACTGGCTCTATCTACACTTATTTTGTAAGAAAAACACCCACACACGTATATATACAAAAGGTCAAACTCTTTGGGTTCCGCCTTACCGTAAAAAACATCTACATATTTACAATACTTTTGCGAACTCATATAATTTGAGTTATTTTGAACAAATGTTGAATGCTGGAGCTTCAAATCTCCACAATTAACATCCAATTTCGTCCAAATACCATGTTTCACCTTGTATCTACCCCTTATCCATATAGTAAAATTTGCATATCCACTTGTATTTATCTCCTTCAAAATAGCATTTGCAACCTCATCATTCATAATCTTCATAGGCAAACAATCACTAAAATTCACTTCTATAGATCTCTCATCTTTTCCTTCTTGATAATAAAGCTCTAACATTGTTATCCAAAGAATATCATCATCATACATAATAGAAACCTCAAGATTTTTGTACTTAGTTTTTGTTGGCATTTTGACAAAGAAATAAGTATTTGTTGGGATTTCAACAAAGAAATTGAATGAAATTTTTTGGCCAACAATGGAATAAGGCAAAGAGGAGATATTAATATAAATTGCACTTTTTGACTCCAAGGAAATATTGGGGTGTGGAATTTTTTCAAAGTATATTATTATCATGGCCGAAATGAATCCAAGAACAAAAAGAAAGCCTAAACAGATGAGAAAATCAACTAAGAAGGAACATTTTCCATTTTTGTCTTCATTCTTTTTTCTGCTCATTGTTTTGTTCCTCCCTTTTTTTATCTCACAAGGAAATGAATTTTACTTTACTTTAATTATATTATGAAGATAAATAGGAGCAAGGAGATAGAGTCCTATTAATTAGTGATAGATATAAGAGTAGTTTTACTTGTTCTTCAAGATGTGGACGATCTTATCTAGTATATACATCATTTGGGGATGGTAAATTCTTTCTACAAGGTAAAATAACACTAACACAAGGTTTAAAAAAAGTACATTAAAAACTTGAGAATATAACATTCATTTTAGATGGTAAAATAACTCTAACCTAATCCATACTATATTGCCTTTTGTTTTCTTTTATGTGAGTATTTAGGTGTTGAGTAGTACATACCAATATGTTTTTGAATTATTTGAATTTAATGTAATATAAACGTTGTCTCTCGTAGAAAAATAACTACTGAGAGGAAATTTCTTCTATGTGACGAACAATGAAAATACATATTGATACTCGTTTTTATCTCAAATTTACTCAACTTAGGAGGAGTATTTGTCACATATCAAAGTGATAATTTGCGTGCTATGGTACGTATTGATGGGCCAATTTTACACAAATTTAAAAGGAATTTTTACCTATCTATACCATATATCAAACCTTATTACTCTCAATGTTTAAGGTTTGTGTTTATTACATTTAAGCATACCAAATTACCATTTCTATACCATAATTCAAATTAGGGATATAATTAAGGGTTCATTTATATTAGGCATAATTATAGGACTGTATCTTCCCACTTTCTCTTTCCTTTCATCTCAACTGTTCACAACACACACACACACAACTCACGATGCTCCTATGCTTCCTCTCGTTGATCATCCCCAACTGCCCACCACCGTCGAAGAATATCATATTTTCAGATTCACAAGAAAATTTTAAATTCTTTGATCCAACCGCTTGAATTCCCACTGGAAATAATAATGGCAGAGAGTTCGAAATTCTTTGAC